CCCCCTCAATTAATATGAATAAAAGTACGCGGAGCCTTGAAATTGCGGGCAAATAAAAAAAGTTCTCTTGCCGCTGGTGTTCAGTATATATCATAGCGTTCAATATATTTTTCAGTCCGTCTTTATTCAATGTTATCTCATAGGTTGAAACTTTGTTTATTTTTGAACACAAATCTCCGCTATAAATTCCAAATTAAATGATGTCATGATTAAACTATTGGCAATTCACAAATTATTAAAATTAATTCCAGTTTATCGAGTTCCCTCAGTATTATTAAACAACTTCTTTAAACTCAAATAACATTCTTCCACAGTTGTATCCAAATCTGGAATTTCTTAGGATGGACAATGGAATGACGGCATCAATCTCAACTCAGTTCTCTTTTTCCAGCCTTATTTCCAGCAAACCCAGTATTTCTATAGACGTTTGGTGGTATGGCTGCATCAAATTCAACTTCTCTTTTTCCGGCTTTATTTCCAGCAAACCCAGTATTTCTAAAGACGTTTGGTGGTACGGCTGCATCAAATTCAACTTCTCTTTTTCCGGCTTTATTTCCAGCAAACCCAGTATTTCTAAAGACGTTTGGTGGTACGGCTGCATCAAACAAAGCTGCGTCATCACCTCTTTTCTCCTCCTCAGAGTACGCACTCAGCCATAACAGAGATATTTGCAACAGAATAATTAGGAGATACATGCTAGGAAACCAAAAAGAAAATCGCGGCTATTAATTAATGAAAGTTTTTTTACACACAATTTTCGCTTAGAGTATTTAGATCTTCAAATAAATAAAATCACGTTGTAAACCCTTCAACAGAGAATTAAGGATTTTCAAAACAACAATTTTGACTCATCCTTGAGGCTTTAAGAAAAATAAGTTTTGTTTTTCTACTTTAGGGGTAGCTCATCTGTCAACTGACTTGAATGCTCTAAAAAATTATAAATGGCAAATTTTAGTCACCAACAAAATAATTTTTCTAGCAACATTTGAAAATCATACCTTTGCCACAATTTTCTGAGTTAAATTTTGCAATTTCCCTGTCATCCACAGGGTACTTTTTAAGGAAAACGTTTTGCATCTGAAAATTTCTTCACAAGATGGCTTCCAAAATCCCAGAGGAAGTCGATTACATATATTTTTTATATTCAAGAAGCTATTACCTGTCTTGAATTCAGGTGTAGCGTTTCTTTCTTGCTCCAGTTGCCGGAACTGTAATTTCAGCGTTTGAGGCGGCTCAGAGTTAAAAGACAGACTTCTTCCTTTTGCTGTTACTGCCCAATTCCTATTATATGATTCTTTGTCTTGATAAGATCAGACCGCTCTTTTCATTTGATCATTAATCTCAAAGCTAACAACAGTTTGAATGACCTGAATGAAGCACGTTGACTGATATAATTTTTTCGGCTTTTATCAGAGAGACGATATCAGCATCCGCATAAATTATGTTTAGAAAGTCAAAAGAAAAAGATTTGAAACCGCCGTTTTTAATAAAGTTGTTACGTTATTTAGGGCAATTCAACGAACACATTTTTACGCCTTAAGTTAACAAAGAAACTAAAATACTTTTAGCAAACTAAAATAAAACTGAAACAAGCTTGTACAGAAGACACCACCGATGATCCTGATTTCCTTTCTACAAAAAAAAACCCAAAAAAGCTGAACAAAAGACAATCAAAAACTTGAGAGAACTTCTTTCATTACAACCGAAGAGCTTTGCCTTGATATAGTGTGTTTAGTATTGTCTTTACCTCTTTGTTTTACCTTTTTTTCACTGTAATTTTTCCTTTTTCTCTGTCTAGTAACGGAGATGCCCTAAACTTTTGAACTGAGTCATGGTTGGATGATTAATTTTTAGACAAAAATCAGAGATAAAACGAATTAGAGGATCTAATGATGAAATATGAGATTGCCATTGTTTTCGCTTCCATCAAGCTCGTTATTAGTTAATTAATGTTATCAGGCCGCTGCAACATAGATATCTACTGGTCAATTAAGTTTCCAAACTGCACGAAAATTGTTTATTTCATTGTCAGAAAATGCAACATAGAATACGTGTAGCTTCTGACGATCAGGTATCATAAGTGGGAAAATTATCGGTAGAATAAAATACATCATTTAAAATCTACATATCCAGAGCTTATTCTTCGAATCTCTGATATATCAACAACCAGGATAAAAAATTTAAACTGGCAAGAATTTGAGTAATTTCGCGTAAAGGCACATCCAAAAAAAGTTTAATTACTGGCTTGATATGAAATCAAGATAACGTTTCAATGTTTCTGATTGATAAAATTTCATTTTTCCTTGTTTGATAAACGTGTACGAAAGGACCGAAAAATATAACAGCTTTTAATTTGTGAAGCAGCTAATGAAACTTTTGACGCCCTTGAGAGTTGATGAAAGATTCTTTATTTTCCTATTCCAAGGCCATCCTTTCGTTATCCTTATATTTCAGAAACTAAATCACAAGTATCATTCGAGGGTAGATCCTATTTTACTATCGGTGCAAATGAAACGTACAGGACTTCATAAGCATTCGTTGAGTTCTTAGCAATGGATTATGTATGAAACACAGTATTAAATTGGAAAACGCGACTCAGTACTAAAATAGAAGCGACGTCACTTCCCAAAAGAACCTCTCATTTACTTTTTTATTACGGGCAAGAATATTCATGATAACTCAATACTTTGAACCTCGTTGGCCCCCGATAACCAAACAACTTTAGCATGTAACTTTTAGCTTGGGTTTCAACTCCATACAACTGCTTATCAGCACAAAGCAAGAATCATTTTATATTGGTTTCAAAACCTAATTCATTAATGACAGTTGAGTGACAAAGACTCAAACCATACTGGAGAAATATATGTTGGTTAGAGTCAGTCGTATGTTTGGAACTGGAGATTTGATCGGTCCAGCAGTTTATGTCTTCTAACTTCATTACGTACTAGAGAATCTTGCGCAAACAAATCAAAATTCGGCAATCGACAACCTTCAGTAATTTCCAGCAGTTCGTCTTCTTCACTCTGTGTTATTTCTAACTAAATGCTTCTATTGCGCTAGCCTATACATCTTGGCGCTTTCTTCGTTAGTACCACATCCGTTCTGGTAATAGTATTCGCGATCTATAATATTTCATCTGCTATCAAAAACCCTTTGAATGTGACAAAACATCCGACCCGTGCCAAACTTACTGTCGGATCTTCCGTTTTCGGATAGAATCCTTACAACGCCACCGCTCTGTGTGCAACGCAAGACACTTCATATGTCATTCCACAGCTGCTAAATTCACAAGCGTTGATGGAAAATTTGGTTTGAGGTTAAAGTTGAATCTCAAAATATTTTCAAATTCGCCAGCCTGCATGGCTTCTTCGGCAAGTCTATCTCTTTTAGTTAAACATGCTCAACCATCTAGGAATGGATAAGACTAAGCGATGATCACCTGCCTAAAACGCGAAACAAAAATAAGTTTTGAGCCGAAAAAAGATTTACCACTAGTGCAAGATTCTAAATATAGAACTAACCCCGCGCTCAATCTGAAATATATATATATATAATGTGCCTTGTATGTTAAATATCAATATTACCTTTCACTAAAACTAAGTGAAGTTCTTGTGTGCTTATTCGTCATGATATAAAATTTAAGTTTGTTTTAAATCGTACTACAACAAAGAAACAAGTTTACAATTATATTTAACGTGTACATAAATACATTTAATGCAGGAATAACGCCTTTGACGACATTCTCCGAATGGCATTTGGAAGTTCAGATAGGAATCATGTGTGAGTACTAAATACAGTCAATGAGAATTTTTTCGAGTTGAGTTTTCCAACCTCTCGGGAAAATTAAAAAAATCGTTGGCTTTGCAAATAACGATGTATTAGTTGCGGAAAATAGGTCAAAATGCAATTGGGCGTTAATTAAGCGCCATTTGACGAGGAAGTAATATTGAACAAGTCAAGGAAACGAAATCTTATCTACAACGCCTTTGTGGATTTCGTTATCGACTAATTTTGCCAATGTTTCCATTTCCTTAGCACAGACCACAGATGTCTTTCTTGTCATGACTGGAGACAGCTACACGAAATTCAGTGCGTGATCAAAAAAGAAATTCAAAATTTTCAACTGGTAGTCGTTATCATTTCCGTTCATTAAACCTGAAAAATTTTCCAAATCCATTTTACCCCATCTTCTCGATCGAAATTATGGATGAATCTTAAATGTAAACTGAGATGCTGACACGACTCGGAGGCGACTTGAAACACTAGTAAAGAGCCTTGAAGTGAAAGTAAATAAATACTGGAAATAAATACAATGTCATATTAATATTATTAACTTAGTTTTAAAGCTAGTATTTAAATTAAAAGCAATTTTCCGCTGTAACGCTGAAACCGTCAAAGACGCAAAAAATCGTTACTTAGATCCTATCATCAACGTTCACAGAAATTTGTTTCTGTCCTTTACTTCGAATTCAATATTTTGTCTGTCTGGCTGTTTCTTGTCTGTCTTTCCGTCCATCTATTAGACTACATGTCCGACCTAACCGTCCGTCCTTCTGTACATCCGTTTTTCCTCTAAATCAATGCAAATAATAGAACGTTAGTTCAGTAATTCGGTCGTTGAAAGTCTGAAAACAGACTCTTTTGTTTACTAGATGATGTGTTTTAAGTTATGTTGCTGGTAGCGGAACTTCAGGATGGTAAGTATGGCGTTGGATCTGAGCGCTCCCAAGATTTTCGTTTTCACCTTTGTTTCCTTTTTCTGTCAATACCTTTTTTTTCTTCTTTTTTTTCTGCACCTGTTTTTAGTTTCTTCAAGAAATTCAAATCTATTGTTAGCTCTAAGGACGTTACTTACAGCCTTTTAATCCAAGTTTTGACAACATAAGTCAAACTTTCTCTCTTCACAGTGACAGCAATGAATAACAGTTAGAGAACATTCTTATAAAAATGCGCTACAATGCTCATCAAAAGACGTGGCATGAAAAGGGAGGATCAATTTTTCCTCATGCTTAGAGCGACTTCCACTACCAAGCCAAGATGAACACAATAATTCTGGCCCTGGAAGGTTTGATTCTGGTAACTTGCTTTTTCCGAGCAGTGGATGGTTTTTCACCTTACATGACAAAGCCCAAGGGCGATGTAAGTGGCCCTGATGATCGTCAGATAAAGGTAAAAAATGAATTATGAACAATTGTAGTTCAAACATTAACTTGACATAACTTAATGCAATCAACGATCGGCCTTAAAATTTGCTTGAGCTAAAGTATTGGTTAACCAATGTGTTGAACATTCTAAACGATAACGGCGAAGTGGTGAAGTGGTCAAGGCCATCGTAAGCTGTAACGTACTCATTAAAGCATAAGTATCCCCTCAAATTTTTTTTATTTTAGCCAAAATGGTTTGTGGTGCCTGATTGTTATAATCCATTTGTTCTTATTTTAAAGCGAGTTTCTGGCGGCCGACTCAGCCTTGTTTTTCTTGACTATTTACAGTATGTAAATATCTCGTGTACTTTTGAGTGTACTTTTTTTAAAGACATCCCCATTTCAGTTTGAAGTCCCGCAAAGAATTATAAGAGTGTGCTGTGACAGATCATTGTCTTCGACCAATCATGGAGCACGGAGTATTTATCTGTTTGAGTCACTGCATCCCCATTAAACCTGCATTAGCCATTTTTTGTCAGTCAAATATTAAGAGCTATTCTGTTTTGTTTCAGCTAGAAAACTGGTGCCATCTTCCATTTATCTAAAACCTCCCGCTTTCTAGATAACACCAAAGCTTTACCTTTTGTTATGGAATTTACCTTTTTCCTGACTCACGTGACTCACCCTGAAACTGTTTTATCGTCACGTTCGAATGCTGGACATTTCTCTTTAATTTTCAATTATCTGTATTATTTTCACTCTCAGCGCCATCCCAGCAGATATTACCAGATTGAAAAAGAGGGTCGTAAGAGAGAGACTGATGCTGAAACTATCCTGCAGAATGGAGGCGACAGCCAAGTACGCACGCGCAAGAAGCGACGTTCTTTCTCCTATTTGACGCTCTGATGCAAGTTGATATAAACCATAATGATCTAATAACAAAGGCTTTGAAATAGTAGTTATGCAGAAAAGTGAATTAATTCAAGCTCAAACTAGCTTAAGCAATATGAATAGCCTCCGAAAAGAAAGGCAAGAGTTTTATTTGCAGAATTATTAAAAATATTTGCAATATTATAGAGAAATAAAGTGGGACCTAATAAATTCACCAGTGTTGGCAATTTTTTTTAAACCACGCAAATTCGCTGTACGAAAACGTATTAAGCTGCATGCAATGCATTCTGTCGAAAATTTCGTCTACATATCGCATAAAATAATTTGTCTAAGCTGAGAAATGTGGAAAATCTTGAAACCCTACCTCAACTTCACCTGAAAGGTGGGCATTCGCGCATTCAGTTGAGCCCGCGTTAGACTAGAGATCGCATGTCGCGACAATATTTCAGTGGCGTTCGCAAACTTCTTCCCAGTGGGAACATGGAAAAAGACTCTTGATGGATAATTTTCACTTCAGCGTGGCTGTGAGCTACTCTCGTTGAAATCTGAACAGAGTGCGTGGAATTCCGAATTGAGCTGTTATAAGCGAACAGACAATCAGGGGCAAAGCTGTTGTGTATTTTACCTGGAAATTTCAAGAACAAAATGAGAACATTTGTCTTGCCTCTGAACTGATTTGAATGAAATAAGCACCATAAACACATGTATGATTACTGACTGAATTGGACTCCACTCGTTCCTAATACCATTATTAATAACGATAACTTATTCATATGGTGCCATTCCTAATCTTACGGCGCGTGAAAATTTTATCCCAACAAGCTGTTATGACCCAAAGAAAATTTAAGCTTGCGTAGAGCCACCTTAGACCGAGGAAGAAGTACAGAATGGGACTGAACTAAACAGAACAGTTGAATGAAGCAAGCACCCATGACGGCGCACAAAATAAAGACAGACTGAGAACGTAGATTATTAACCATATACGTTAAAGTACAATCCCGCAGACGCAAATCTCTGATTATAAAATTACACTTCGAGCAAAGTTTAATCGAAAAAAACTCCTCATTTAGCATTTTAGGTCCGAGGCTGGTTTTGTTTTAAGTCCGGCATATGATTGGTCGATTTGCCTTATTCGTGAATGCAAAACTTTTCCGGAGAACAACATTCAAAGCCGAGACATATCAGAACTACTTACATTTTTCTCTGTTCCACTTGCTACATACCGCTACTGATGACAACGGACACCCTAAATGACAATAAAAAGAGAACATAACCTAGTTCTTAACAACGTATGATTTTAATATGTTTTCCCACAGTAGAAATTTCAAAGTTCATAGAAGCCGGAATAGATCTGATATGAAATGCGTGCACGTGATTATTCATGTAGCAGTCATTTTGGAGGCGTACGATGAATTAATTTGCTGGTCTGCGGCTGAAAAAGGAACTTTAGGGTAGATTTCAACTTTTCATAGCGTGGGTGCACGATATCGTACAAGAAAATCGATTCAACATTGAATCTCAGAAAATCACTTTTTTTTCATTATTTAAAAGAGCAATTGTATTGTTTCAATTTTTACCGACTTAAGCGTTCATTCGATAGTTCTCACTCTAGATGCTTCAGATTGCACTTGCAGTTGTCTCATAATCACGAATGAAACATGCCTGTTTTGTTCAAAAATTTAAGGAAATTACCAATTAGTCTACACTCTTTCTTTATTTGTAATCATTTTCTGATTGTTTAAAGTCGAAACGAAATTATATATTTTCACTGAAAGCCGGTAGCTGACAGTTTCCTCGGTACAACTATCATCCACAAATAATAAGTATTGCAGTAAGCCGCGAAGATTTTCCAAATATGATTACATAGTAATTGATGTCGGGGACAAAATTTCGATCGTTGGACAAAGAAAACTGTAAAATGTCGATGGTACTGCTAAAAACTCGGAGACATATACGTATGTATCAGTGCATGTTATTAGCTGACTAAAAATTTCAGCAGCTATTCCACTCAACTATGCTTAAGGACCCTCTTAGTACAGGGATAACGCTCATGCAGGAATCAGTATTTTGTTCAATTTCATAGAATAATTGATACGTGACGGTAATGATATTCACGCAATTTATTGTGTACATTGTAAGTGTTACGATGAATTTTTTTAACCCCAGAAAACATTTTGCTGTAAGATTTACGCGAAAGACATAGCATCAGACAACATATTGCAAATAGTTTTTTTGAGAAGTATGATACATCCAGCTTGCAAGTAATTCTTTAGGTAAGGGAAAAAAAACAGGAAGGGCAAAGTTAAGCTTAGAAAAAATGAGTCCAATTAATTACCGAACAGAAATATGAAACTTTGAAATTGGGTTTTTGACAAACCGGCTCCACAAATGTAGAAAACTTCTTCTTTCCCATGTAGGGGAACAAAGAAGACCTAAGGTCTTGTCGGCACCATTCCGCTTGCGCTCTTAATGGTAAGCCGATTTTTATGTTGCCTGATCACGACTTTTCATCCAAAGTGTAATGTGATTCATCATGACAAAAGTTTTAATAAAAATGATAATAAGGAATAGATGAGTCCACGCGGAGTGGGGCAAATAATCTAGGAAGGAAGGAATAATGATATGTTCCCGGTAATTATTTCCTTTACTTGGAGTGAAGAAATCAGGGCATAGGAAACACAAAATTATGAAGCTATATAATTCCATTTAATTCTAAACTTCCTCAGTTTGCTGTGAGAATATGGTCGCAGACAGACCTCTTTGTCAAGTTTGTACTTTATGCCAAATTAGCTTTTTACATGAGATACTAAGAAATGAAATGCACTTCCTTTGCTTTGTTAAGTTTGACATGAGCTTTCTATAACGCAAGAAATTCTTTCTGTTTATCGTATCAATTTCCCTTTCGGCATCTTCAAGTCTGTACAACCCATAATTAAAACATGAATTTAAAACTCAAGAGATTTCCTGTAAAAAAGCAACTACGTAATAATCTTATCTCATTTAACTTTCGCTAAGACGACGAAATACGATCTAGACCATATATAAATTTGATCAGGACAAGGATTCTTATAAAGGGAATTCTCTGAAGTTAGGCTTTTAGGACAGTAGTAACCGTGGCTCGGAGCAGATCTTTCTTATCTAAAAGGCAACGTTGCGGCTTGATTGATAAGGTAAGTCATTTGTCATACGTCAGTGACACTTCTTTTCGATGTACGAGGTAACACTCCAGTATAGACGCTTCCACTTAAAACAGACAAAAGGAGCTATACATTTTGGTGCATCAAAGTTTTCGCTAGTATGTATTTCCTTACACCTTTAAGATTCGGGACCTGAAATATAAGATCCAGTCAGTCTAAATTTGCTTTCCTTTTTGGTTTCATCCATATTCGGCCTATTTACGACGCCTTGGTCGTAAAAATTTCATAACTTTAAACCTTCAACATATCCATTTTTGCACAGAATAAAGTAAAACGAATCATACATGTCGGTAAAATATAGCATTCATACATGGGTCATATTCGTTTAACGCAGTAAAGCATACACTTCTAGAAATTTATATATACATATACATATAATATATATATATATATATATATATATATATATATATATATATATATTGTCTCCTTATGAAAGCAAATCAAACCAGAGGTTTTTTCCTTGATCTTTTAGCATGGCTCTGCTGCTTATTCTGTTACAAATAACACTGGTGTGGCAACAAATTGTGTATTCGGGAGAACAGAAAAAAGGAAATGATGCAGTAAATCCGCAGTCTGGCGTTCAAATCTCGGAATTTGGAAAAAGAAAAACTTTTTCCGATGCAGAAATTCCACCGTCCATCTCTAGGATGAATTCCTGGAAAGGAAAACGAGGAAAAATGTCTGGTGCAGACATTCCACCGTCCATCTTTAGGACGAATTCCTGGAAAGGAAAACGAGAAACTATGTCTGGTGCAGACACTCCACTGGCCATCACTAGGTTGAATTCCTGGGAAGGAAAACGAGCAGACATTCCACCGTCCATATTCAAAAAACCAGGGCTTGGGAAAAGAGACCCAGCTGTAACTGATTAAGCTGCTCTGTCTCTAGTTTAAGAGCGTTTGGAGGTTATAATTTCCCTTTCAGCATACCAGAAGATTATTTAGACTAAGATGGACCCTAACAGTCACCAGACACAGATAGAAACTTTAGAACGCTTCGGTTAGACTTAAAACTCCCTTAGCAAACTAATGTGTTATGTCTTCGTAGAGATGCCAGATAAAAAGTTTGAAATGCGACGGTCTTTGTTTTGTCTTCTTTCTCAGAAATATTTACTTTTTTTACGTTTGTTTAACAAGATTTCCATAATTCCAATGTGAAGGAAGAAGATCGCTGAAATCGTTAATAGGAAAGTTTTTATTGTGATTTTAGTCATTTGACCTAATGATTGAGTATGGTGCGTGACGTCATTATTAGGTTCCACGATGAAATTTGTCCAGCATGTCACTTGGATCAGCAAAATCTTCTGTTTTTAAGTATGCAAGATCTAGCTGAAAGGCTTCCTTCTCAGTTTCTTAATGTAGCCAGAAAGAATTAAACTGAGGTCCGTAACAAACAGCGAGATCAACTCGTGAAGAGGGGGGCACTGGGGTCCTCTTAGAAACCGCAAAACCGTAGCCGGAAAAATCATCTAAAACCGCAAAACCGCAAAAGAGAAAAAAAAATTGATCAAAACCAAAAACCGCATGAAGTTCCGCCTTTCCCCTCCTCGTAAAAAAACGCTACACAATCCATAATTGCCTCTTGAGGTCCTTGAGCTTCTTCCGTCGCCAGCGCTTGAGGCACATTGGAAGCCATAGTTTGCTAACCGATCGACGTAAGTGCTACACATTATAAGGTTAAAAAGTCTCAGGCGCTATTCGAGACGCCTGACCACCGACGGATCCCTAAGATATTTCAACTATTCGAAGTTATTTTGGTGACATTTGGTTTGTCACACCTTCCTCTCAATAACATTTGCGTTTACGCGGCTAATCGAGATAACTGGGGGTGCATAACTGCCACTTAGATCGATCGAAGAGAAACTGGAACCCGAATAGTAAAAACCAAAAACCACATTGGATACCAAATCAAAAAACCCGTTAGTATTTTTGACAATAACTCAAAACCAAATGCTAAAAAAACTGAAAAACCGGAAACCGCGGTTTTATGGCGCTAAAACGAAAAACCGATTTAAACAAAAGCTGAAACCGCAAAACTGAAAATCCAATGCCCCCCTCCGTGAATTTTGGATTTTCCGTCTGAGCTTGATGGTTTGAAGAAATGTCACAAGGAAGCTATATTTGCAAGCCTGAGATTTTCAAGAACAAAACAATATCATTTTCTTTATAAGTTGCGTCTCTTTAGGCAGCTCTGGTTCTTACATACAGGGTTTCTCAAATAAGGGGAAAAACAGCTATTGCGACATGCTTCCCTGAGATGTCTTTCCTCAGCACTGGTCAATCAAGCTTGCGTAAAAAAGCGCTTGGCGCTATATTTTTTTCCACGAAGCAATCCGCCACCCGCCTTTTCCGCGTAACACCTCGCATCGAGAGCAGATGCGCACTATTTCATTAAAATGTTGAAAAAATCGTAGATTTATCAATTTTGACGACCGGTAACTGATTGTTTGTCATTGTACACATACATAAGGATCCCATTTTCCTAAAACCAAAGAGGCCCCGATTCTTTTGCATATGAGGTCAGTGCTTGATTTGCCAAACTCAAGCCAGGAGTCCCATTAATCTGCAATGTTTTATTTGCAGGTTTTTACTCAAAGGCGATCATTCGGATGTTAATTATAACCATATCTGCTAGAAATAATGTTATCCATAAATGAGATAATTTGGTTTAGTCAATTGGGTTGATAATGCAAATTGGCCAACGTATGGCAAGTTTTAAAGCTGACGTTTCGAGCGTTGGCCCTTCGTCAAAGCGAAGGTTTGATTCCCCATCGACGTAGCAACACAGTTTCTTAGAAACTTACCCCCTTTATTCATTTATCCATAAAACGAAGCCACAAACTCGTAAACGCGGGGTTTTTTCTTTGTAACATTTGTTAATTTATTTTATTGGCAGTTTCATCGGATAGCATTCGTTTAATTTATGCTAACATAAAATGCCAGCAACTCCAAAGAAGAATATCACGATATTCAGCTTAATATTGTGTTCCTAATGTCCCCTACGCAGCTCGTTTGATAGTTATCAACATTGTGAACACGTAACTATTTAAGACAGGAATCTTCCCCTTGCTGTATAGTTCTCTTCTTCCAAAGACCTCTTGGACTCTGGGCAGTGAGTCCTTGCAGCTGAACAAATTGCTTCAAGGCTTTGATCACTCTGTTGGACAGATCACAAGAAAGGAAATGCTGATTTAAAGTCATAACCAATGAGAATATTCTTAAATGATGAATAAAGGAATTCTATAGCACCATATCCATGAGCTCATAGCTCTTAAAAATGGACAGTTCAAACAGAATTTAGCTTCAAAAATTTACATCAGTGAAGAAAACTAAATTCTAAAAAAACATCTACTTTCTTAAATCTTAGAATGTTCATACATATGTTATAGTATTTACTTTGAATTTAATTTTGAGTTATGTAGAATACCTGAAAATTGGCTGGTGTCTCATTTCATTATGTAATGTCACAACTGAATAGCTAAGCGTAGGACATAATAAACTTGTGTTGTTGTTGTCGTTGTTGAAACGTTTTATACCATACACATATAGTTCCAGAGAGCCGTTTGCAACTTTCTTAGTTTTTTTTTTTTTTAATTTTCCTGTCAAGATTTTTTTACGATTATCTTCTGTATTTTTCCACTTATGTCATTTTTAAGGTATGGATGTCCTAAATCGTACTTGATGCTTTTGTACAATATCTCTTTTTCACCCCGAAGTCTGAAGTGGATCATAAAGAGAGAGTAGTGCGTCACAACTAAGCTTAAAAGTAAATCCAGTATCTTTTTATTTTGTTGGGATGCAAATCCAAAGGGACACTTTGTTCTCTCATTACTCTACTTATCTTCATCACAGATTCCTATCGTATTTCCTTAATGCACGAAAGGTTGATATTTAACGTATCCTCGTTTTTCCGGGACTATACATAGGAAAGCAAGGCGTACAAAGCTATTTTTAATCGAGCCACGAATTCATGAGTTAATTTTTAATATTTGGGCGTAACACCCGCTTACCACAAACTCTGCCAGACAAAATATCGTGATATAACATATTGTAAAACCTGAGTAGAAAGGCCAACTTCCTGAATCGAGGATAATAAAATTGAATTTGGTTTAGGATACATTTTGTAGTGAATAAGGTAACAAAATCATATCACTGTACACTCTACAATTGTTGAAACAGCCTGGAGTGTTATACATTTACTTTTGATGAATGCTAGAAACTTTTTCCAAAGCCTGATCTGATGTTATGTCTAGCTTTTCCTGTGTAAAATAATTATTACGGAAGCATTTTCAAGAAAGATGGCGCTATTATCACCAGTAATATAAGGTTCCGTAAGAGTTGCGACCACCTCGGCAGAAATTTCGTTTGATAAACTCAAGATTATAATTCGACTAAGGAAATATGTTACGTGATGTTATCGGATTTAGTTTTTAAACTTAAGTTTGACCAAGCAACTGTGTTCGATTCTACAATATACCTGCTTTCGTACTTTAGATCTTTTGCCTTTATAGCCTCCTGAACCAGCCGTAAACGCCTCACATTGAGTTGTTAGGACAGTCACAAGAATGAGGGTTATAAACAGGAACCTCATGGAGCACATGGTGCAAGTGAAGAGGAATGATATAGTACTACTTATGTTGTAAGGTTTGAACAGTCCTATGGCGATTTTAGACTCTGGCAAGTTTGAAGTCGTCTTTAAATACAAATTTCTGAACTCAACTGCGCTCATTTCCGCTTGATGTTGTCGTTACGGCTCCATTAAGTCTGCTATCTTGAACTTTCTAATTAACAAATTTGAATAGATACGATTGTAAGACAATACTTTGCGAGATAAATTAAGAATTTTGAAGATGAGACCTACGGAGGTAAATGGGTTAAAAACTTCGCGAGGCATTTCATAAACATAGCTTAATTTCATTAAAAAGAAGACAAAAAGACGGGCGTAGATTTACAAACAAACATTTATCTTCACCAATAATTATAAGCGTGCTTGTCTGGAAAAAAAAGTTCGGGAAACAGTAAAACAACAATAAGCTACAGGGAATTTTTACCACATTCTACACCAATATTTAATGCGGGGGAAAAGATTAGAATATTATATCGATCCGCGTCAGATTATCCGGCATCCAACTAAGATCATGACTCCACCCCTAAATAAATTCCTTCTAACGATTTGAATATAAAACCTGTTCGAGTTCATTCGTATGAGAAATATGATATACGTTAGACTTAAAACTGGGTACAACAACTTTGGTAGCTAGCGAAGACAAGTAACACGTTAACACGTCCACGGAAAGCGAGTTTGTTGGAAGATGAGATGTATATTGAGTTACGAGAAACTCACGCGTGCGATAGAGGATTTCCCCTTGTACAATATAAATAATTTGCTGCTATTTTTTATTCCACTACAGAGAGATAGAAATAAACGTTCTTGGTTTTTCTTGTTTCGGCCTAGTAAGCTCAGTGTGGTTTGAGATGCGGCTTTCCCATAAGGGACGCCTGTTCCGTTTTTTGTTTGGTTTATTTTTTGAGGACTCAGGAAAATGTGAGTTCGTAATGTTTATTAACACACAGTAATGCAGTGTGGTCTAAATTTCCTTTTATTTTCGTTTTCCAATTTGATTTTCCTCCGCAAATGATAAAAACATTGATAATTGGATTTCTTCAAAAATACAATAATCAAGCGGGAATAAACGCGATAAAATACAAGAGAATTTATGATATCACGTCAAATATCAACTAATAAAATAACTAAGTACATTATCCTAAAAACTTTTTTCTGCCATTTTGCTTAAATAACGTTAATGAGACTTTCCTTTTTTCCATCATCAAATTTGGAATTTTGTTGTTTATATAAAAAGCTGATTTTTCATTATACGACCTTTGAATGAACATCAAATAAAAACATTAGTCAAATTTTATAAAACGTAATTATTTGCAGCAAAATTGCATTAAATATTTAACAAGTTTTTTCTCAAAGTACAAACTGAAAGTTCAAAATATAATATTTGATTCAGGAGCTTGTTTTCAGAATAGAATATGAACTGTGGCCTTTCAAAATAAAAAGAGCATCGAGAATTCACTATAGGCAAACAAATAAACCAAGAATATGTGAATTGAGTACAAATTGCAGTTGACCGACTATCGAGTCCTTATCTGTTCATTTTAGTAATTGCAATGTAATGATCACAGTCTTTAAAAGTGTTCAGGATAGCCGCAGGTGCCGGCTCAATGGCAGAATTTTCTTTGAAAATTTTCAGATGTGCAAGAGATAGATTGTCTTTGTTTCGCTGTCGCTAGGTTGTGTTTCCTGTGAACACTGAACTGAGCGGTTTGTTTGATTAAACGTCCCACAGAGCTAATATATTTCAAAAGAAAAACTCTCCTTCTTTTGTTTACTTTTGCAAAGTAAATTAGTCAGTTCAATCGCAACAAAAACGACTGAAATTAATTCGTCGATCATTTGGCGAACGCGTCCAGTAACAAAATTATGTTATGTTGGATAGAAAATAACTGAAAAAAAAAGAGAAAAAGGTACTGACATTGCGATACAGTATAATGGTTTCTGATGCAGGCGGCGTAGTTCCCTAAAGTACTACATACTTGATCCTTAGCGTAAAGACTTGCAAGCTTTGGTTGTCATACGCATCTTTCCTAAGCCACTGATTAAGATAAGGAAAAATATATGAACGTAAAAACCCTAAAGGACAGTATCCAGGCTTGCTTTCCGAAAAAAGGACTTTATCCTGCATAAATATGGAATTTATTTTTGCTTGGTCTCCAGGAGCCGGCAAACACAAAAGAAAATTAAAGAGAACGTTACGTCGCATGTTGAAAGAAGAGTGGAAATGTCTTCTTCTTGTCGAAAATGGATGACAGCTTTCAAAAATAAATTCACGACCATCAGTGACCTCAATTTTTGGTAATTCTAAGGGAAAAGAATAATACAAGACCAAGGTGAAGGTGATATGGGACCACGCGGAGACCATGATCATGTCTGTCATAGATATCATACCGATAACAGTACCAGAGGGCTTATTTGCTCCATTTGCTGACGTCTTTTAGAGTACCATTACTAGTACCTCTCCATACGCCCCTGTCTGCGTGAAGAAGAGAGACCTTGTGGAGGACAATGAACAGACAATGCAAAAGTGCTGTTCATAACACAAAAGTAGCGGAAGGTAAAACCCCCAACTGCAGATGTCATGCATAGAACCTCTTATTAAACTTATAAAGTTCGAGGTCCGTGAAGTGAATTTCAGACCCATCGATCAAACTGTAGCGCGCGCTCATAACCGTGAGTCAATCAGTTGTTAGCTGCTTTCAACACATGACTTTAAAAACAGATATCTTAACTCTCTTTTTGCCATGAAAGTTGGCAAAAAAGTTTGGCAGTAAAAACAGATTTGTGGGTAAAAGACCTTACGGATAGAGCTCAGCCCAAACATGTAGTGCTTGGATTTTAATAAGATACTTATTAGGTATTGTTATAACGATGATGGAAATCACAACGATATACTTCAAGGTTGGCACTGTAATGGCCAGTCAGGGCAGGAACATAGGCTTGGAAAGGAGAGATGCCGGCTGAATGTTTAATTTTGAGTTTCGCTTTTGCTACTTCTTCTCGTGAACCTTATTATAAAACAACAAAATTCCATGAAACCTTGACAAGGACGCATCCAAACCAGTCGCAAGACACTTTAATCTCCCTAATCATTCTGAGCAACATTAGGCAGTCTGCGGCCTTTCCGGCCCTACATCTAGGCATTTCGGAAGTCCCCTGAAATCTCGAACAAAAGTTCATCTTTCAAATCGGCACTCTTATTCCCACGCTATCAAAGAACGCTTTTATTCAACTAGTATTCTTATTGTTTCTCGTTTCCATGTTTTCACCGATAGCGTAACTTCATTTTCTACATATAAACACAAACAGAACCAACAATTCTTTCATTCGCTCTGACGAGAGGCTAAAGCTTGAAACGTCAGCTTAGAAACTCTTTACGGTGACCAATTCACATCATCAACTCGGTTCATGAGAAAACCAAATTATCTTTCCGTTCAATTGGAAACTCAGACAAAATGTATTAGGGCAAAAACTTAATAAACGGATCAATATCAAAACCACCTATTCCATCGAAGTAGAGACTAAACATCTGAGGCTGTTTTTGGGGGTTGAATCTAATCTAATTCCCCTAAAGGTGAACTGCAGATGCCAAATTAACATTAAAAGCTACAGTAGTTCTATTAATAGAGTCAATGCATGTACGAAATCGATAAAGGAGCGTTATTTGGAAAGAGAGTTCTAAGAAATTTAATAATAAAAAAGTTTCAATATCATTTCAATCTGTTTCTTCACCTTTTTCCTTAACTAACAAGCCCCGGCCGCGACTTACCTCGATGCTTAATTCTAGTAATCAGTAGTCCAGTGTATTGAACCCAGGCGGCCGAAAATTGATTAATAGACCACTTAAAATCCATGAACTTGCTCAGAAAAAATAAAATAAATAACTAAGTAGTTTGATAAAATTTTTGAGGCTTTTGTTCGTTATAGTTACATATAGCTAAGAATCAACACACTCTCGGTATTTAAGCACTATTACAGAAGGAACATGTGTTAACACAAGCAGTCTCTCAATTTCTTTCCATATCTCTTTTTTTTTTGTTACTCAGCCTGTATTATTACAAGTATGATTACCGGAAAGTCGGAAATATCTGTGTGTTTTTCAAATTTTCGTTGGGCGATCTACGATTCCTATATAAGGAAAGAATGATTTAAGTGAGTTCCCGGATAACAACAATAAGCTAGGCGCGCGATGCAAAGTGGGTAATTCAACTCCTTCAATCATCCTAAAGCTTCTTTCATGTTCATACACAGTGGTGTGTGTCTTGATTGTTACTGCAAGGCTAGTTATATTTGTAACGTTACTAATCCGTATACCCTACACCATAGTTCAAACTTTCTGCGAATGTGAAATCGTTATTAAACTTGATGTTCAAGTATAGCTTCTAGATACCTGAATTTTCATGTTATAATATTATATCAACAGCTCCACATACCTTGTCTAATAATTGACAAAGACCACGGATTCCGAATCTGACGTAACTGCAATGCGAGATACTAATTTGTATATAAAACCTAATTTTACTCAGAGGGTTAAACATGACCGTCTCTGTCTCTTTCACCCGACAAACAACAAATGGCATACTATGCCATTTGTTGAAATGATTTTAGAGTGAGGAAAACAAATTATCGCTCAACATGAAATTAGTGGAGTACGTGATCGATAGTGGCCAAATAAGCTTCGAGATAAAGCTGGTTTTCCACTATCAAATAAAAAATTTCAAGACTGTGCATCAGAACTCAAGTAACTTCATCACACTGCAACATCATATTTGCATTTTACCCGTTACTTTATTCCTTTCTGCCATCGATTGCTTTATTCTACACCACAAGTAGTTGGTACGTGTTCTAATGCTAAAAGGTTTAAAACTAGATCCATTTGAAGCTTTTTTTCCTCTTTACAGCAGCATTCATTTGGTTCTGTCAGTAGAGGAATCAGCGCGTTTGCAAGTTGAGCGTTAAGTTTCCAGTATAGTCAAGCTAATGTTCATGATGTTCTTCTCGCGTTGCAGCTCGTGGGCAGACAGTCGCGGCTATGGAACACAATTGCTGAAGTCGATTTGCGGTCTAGAAATAAAATAGAAAAGAGAGTTGATGAAATGAAATTAATTAACTACAATTTGTCGTTGAGTGTCTAAAAGTCTTACCGGATACAAAAAGCGTATAGCACTTTAGTTTGAATTCACTTTACGATGAGAATTTCCCTCAAGAGCTTGTAAATCTAGGCAATTATTTTGTTGGGTAACTTAGTGATCCAGACAACCACTGAAACTCTGAACATTGACATACTTTGCTGTTTCTAAGCCTCCCTTCAAGAGGTGTTTTTTTTTTTTGAGCAACCGAAATCCCTCGAGCGAAGCAAATGTTGGTCTCTCATTTACTGGATCTACCGAATAAATAAACCAATTTCGCATTAGACGTTTTCGTGTACTTTTCGAGTGAGGAGAAACAGGGCATAAAACTAAAGTTTTTAATTTAACCTAGTCTAAGCTCATCTTAATTGCCTCAAAAAAAAGTGTTTTAACACATTGACGGCAAATAAAAGCTTGGTACAATGTATAAGCTATTAGTAACTACAAACATATGGTGTTTATGGCAAACGGAATCGATAAGATCAACTATTTTTGGGTCGTATGAAACTACCAAAAAACAGAAATGGCCCGTGTGATGAAATATTACCAGAGTGGGAAAACATTGATGAGGTTTGACTAAACCGAAAAACTGCGAAATAGGATATAATTCGAGCCGATCGAAATGGTATTGCGCATTTAAAATTTTGAAATGTTCCTTGGATCTCCTCAAAATGTACTAAAATAAACGATAAAAATGAAAACTTCGAAAATTACAACTCAAATCACTGTTTTGTGAAGAAGTCAGATTATGTCCTTTTGTATCACGAGATGACTCGTTACCTCCACACAGCTTTCAAACTGCCGTTTTCCTCCCATGCCTCCCATTCCAGCATTAAACGCTTGGCTCTGATGACAAAACAACGACGAAATCAGAGCAACAACAAAGAAAGAGAAGAACACTTTTGAGTTCATCTTCAGTTATATGTTCCTAGAGAATACAAAGGAGTACAGCTCTATGCGAGAGGTTTTACTTCAGACGAATGTGTAAAGCTTCTTACTAGAGCCATCGGTTTTTATAATGAAATTAGACACTCTCCAGCCGGAATTCGTGCCCTGAAAATTGAAAACACGAGATTTGCTAGATAATGAAATCAACCACGTACATACTAACTTACGTTTGGACAAAAATGGTCAAATTAATAGAATTTATTCTTTATCTCATCTTTGCTTCCTTTTCCACTTCCTCAGTCGCAGTGAGAAATTAATCATTTTTATTGCTCTAAATTTTATTAGCACTGTGGTATTATCGCACTGGAAACTTCCCTTAGATCTCAAGGGTACATCCCTGTCAACACTTCTCTAACATAAATTTTTCTACGCACTGTTCATTTGTTGGAGGATGTCGTTATTCAGTTTAGAATCACCCTATCAACAGCGGTATCAGACCAGTTCATCCCCAAGAAGGCGTTTTTTTTTTTAACCGCTGATTTTATCTCTCGAAGAAAGCTAACTGTTCGAAATTAATCTAAATGAAAGTTTTATTATCTTTCTCTTTGTTGCGTCCATCTACACTAAGCCTTCCGTTTGGGGAAATTAAAACGATATTTACACTTCATATGAAATAAGTCGGCCTTAAGTGCTTTGGTGGTTTTTTATGTGCATTGTGGAATTCACTTAGCAAATACTCTTGATCACTAATTTACTTTAATTGTTATAGCAATGGTTACCTCACTGTATCACTTCATTGAGGCTTGACTCTGCAGAATTTTTCAGATCACGCCGCTGATACAGTCAATCCCTTTCTTGGGAATTGTGAGAGAGAATACAATCATTTAAACGATACCTTTCATTGTCAATGCACCCACAATGCATTTTAGCATAAAAAAGAAAATAGATAAACTTAAAACGTGGTAGTATGTATTGATTTTTAGAAAATACCATAGAAAATATCGTTTCGATTCTTTCCGCGAAAGAGGAATCGACAAAACTGTGACTAAATTTTGTAGTGTCCATGTGTGTACATATGATCTCAAAATCTTTGTGCAAAACATACCTAAATTCAAACATTTCCATTTCGACAAAGAAACTACTCAAAAATTATCTTTCATTTGATTTGTTTTTGCTTCCTGAAGGACAAATTAAAGGTTTAAAGGTAGAGAATTCCGCTTTCCATCCTACACATTATTATGCCTTAAGGAATTATTGACGGAATTGGTCTTTGGGTAAGGAAAGCTTCTTCTGCTCTCGAATAACTTTTCACGAAAGTTGTGTGCTTACGGAATAAAATTATCTAGACATGATGGCACCGAATCATACACACAAAAAAATTACCTGAAAATTAAATAAATCATTTTTAAATTATCATAGCCTCCGATTTGTCCCGCTGCGAAACTCTAGTAGGGGACTTTTCGATTAACGTAAAAATCACTTGCGTACATTCTTCAACAAATTCTCCGAGGCTAGAAGCAAATTTTAAAAAAAAAATCACCGTTAGCTATAATTTTAAAGTATGTTCCAATGTTAAAAAATATAAAAGAAAACTTCTCGATCTCAATTGGCATTTTTCCAGTTTTCAGCGGTCATTAAAATGCTCATTAAAGTTACCTTTCTTGACAATGGACATAATCTTCCACACGAAAACAAATATGCAGACAGGTTATCTTAATCATGTACTTGAAATGCACTACAAGTGAGACAAAGCGTTATCAATTATAATCTGCCCGTGAGGCTCAGTGATTCCTGTAGATCTGAGGATAAACACAAAATTCATCACCTCCTTCAACGAGCTTTTGTTCGTGTTATTGCAGGGCATATGATTTCCACAGTTACAAAGCAAAAGTGACAACGGAGTTTTGCGTGATTAACATTCGTAAAGTAATATCCGAATATTATGGCTGATATTCACCGATAACAGTTAATGAAAACTTCGTTGTTTCAAAGAATTTGTAACCAATGCCTTTAAGAAGAATTGAAAAAAAAAAGTTTTCATTTCTTGCCCTATGGAACCCTAACGGTGTTACGAAATTTCGTGACAAAAATATAGCTACAGGGGAACAAAAAGAGAAGCAAAAAAAAGAAAAAAGCGTTTAATGGCCTTAAAGTTATAAAAGAAAAATAGTAAAAATTTTGTAAGTACCGCCAACAAAAGACCACTAGCTTTTAGACGAGCGCAGCTTTGTCACTTCTGAGGTTATTACTTTTGATACCAGATGTCACTCTCTCGTGAGATGAGCGGAGGAATCGATTACAATACCAAAACATCGGCACTGATTTATCCGATTTCCGCGCCTCTTTTCTACACTTCCAAAACATGCAGTGAATACCAACCCTCTCTTTGATGGTATATAGTGGCCACAGTCACAATGGCGGAAGCCATAACAACAAAATTTTACGCAAGCACAAGGGTTGCACTGACAAACTTATTCGAAATGATGTTTAGATTTCATTTTAGAAATTTGGAGACTTAGAAGTTGTCGTAATCATGCAACGCGAAAATTTTCCTAACAATACTTGTTACCAAGGCGCCAAAGGGGAACTGTGACTTCACGGAGTCGCATAGCACCAGACCCCACTCTGTGCGTTGAATTAATTCAAGTAAGACGTGGGAAATCCGGCAGAGAAGAATAGGTACAACGAGTTCTGCTTACTCTTCATTTTAAATATCATTCGAAAAGTTCACACGTGGAAAATGTTTTTTTAAGAGCTGTTTTGTGAGGGTCTTTTACGGCTAACGGTCAAAATTTTGGCCATTTTACGGCTACCGGCTAATGTGATTCCATTGTTGCCTTTACGGTTAACTTTTTTACGGGTATCGGCTAATTTTTGTCGACTTTTACGCCTAACGGCTAACTTTTTCAGCTGTATTTCGGCTGCCGGTTAACCTATTGAGACCGTCTTTTGTTTCTGTAGGGATAAGAGAATTTTTGATAGGGATTTGGGTATTTGTAAAATAATCATAGCTTTTATACGCCTTTTGATATAGGAATTTCGTTCAGCCGTAATTCCACACTTACAAAGATTGGGAAACGGGTAGAACTGCTAACAGATTTCGGTCAGTCTTTTATCGTTGTTTCTTCAATATGATACTCTACTCCAGTTTTCAATTCTACAAATCACCTTAAACAGTTTTGATCTTCACCATGACCTCTCGATATATCCAATGCTGAGCGATAAAGAGAACAAAATAAAAGTAAGCTTATGAAAAAAAATCACGATAAAGCATGCAGTATAAAACCTCCACAAAGTATGTTTGAAAAACAGTTTTCTGATGCGGAATTTCTCATTATTCAAAAAAAAAAAAAAAGGAAACTAGGGCCATAAGGTATAATGTTTTAGAATATGACCAAAACACTTTAAAATTCTAAGCCTCCACCTTGTAGAACAGAAGTAAAGTATTGATATTGTGATGTTGGTCCCTTATTTTCATGCCTTCTTTTTACAGGATTTTCTAAGCTCTACATAACAAATTCATGGATTGATTATTTTATTTTCCAACAATCATTAAGAGTTGAGTTAAAAAAAAAAAAAAAAAAAGAAGGCAGTCACGAGCACGATATAAATAATTCTAGCTGTTATTTGCACTTTTGAAGCGTTCCATTGTAAAAATTATCACCAGTTCTTGAAATTGACATATATCACATCAGAGAGGTTTCTCTTCGCTACCGGAGATGAATTTTTAGAAGCATTGACCCTTGGCTGATGTAAGACGTTTCTTATCTCCTTAGACTTTAAAACGCATTTTAAGAACTGAATCACTACTGCTTTTATCGATGGCATCTCTCTATTTTGCGCCCTCACTTTTTACCGTGACATTTAGTCGTGAAATTAAGCGGAAACGAGATTTTTATCTGAAATCCAGAATATCACAGTCTTTTTTCTGAGAAACACACAGTTAATTTCTGACTGGTCACGAAAGCTTTTCTTTTCAAGAAACTACTTTTTTTCCGGATGTAAAAGAGAGAATCAGCAGTTTCAAACAATAAATCATTCCAAATGAAAAAATAAATAAATAAAAAGCTAGTTATTGAGGGAAGATAATTAAGCCTCCGAAACTGCATAACAACCCTTCCTGCTACTTAGCTTCATACGTATTATATTCAGGATCATTTGATTTTTCCCTGAAGCCATCTTTGAAACAGGTTTTCATGTTCAAGTTCACTGAACTTGAACATGATTCGATTTGAAATCGAATTCGATCTGTTTGATCAACGCAGAAATAGAAAACCAAGTTGGAATTCTTAGATACTCTCGTCCATTCTCTAAAGAGACAAGAGTTATGTATATGCCAGCTCCTCAAATGACTCTCAAAGTGAATTTAGCACAAATGCTTCCTATTTTTCGGTGAATAAACTACAAAAATAAAAAGGCTCGGTATAAATCATGCATATATTATCCAAGATGTTCAAAATTTGTGCTGTGGAGGCAAAAGATCGTTACCAAGTTTTTGCACAATCGGATGATATTGTCATCTAGGATTCTCTCTCTTTTTCGATTTACCAGTGCCTTTCGGTGTTTTTTGTAAACGCATCTGTATGTGTCCCATTTGGACATGAGGTGTTATATTGATGATACGCCAAGACCATGCAAGGTTTTAAATCAACATCAAAAATCTTATCTGAAAGACGAAGCACCAAGAAATGGTAAACCTTTATATGCACCCAATGAGTGCTGAAAAGAAAGCGCTTGAAACTGCTTTTCATCACTTCAGCTCGTTAAAAAAGCCCTATTCTGAAAGATACCCAGCTGTCGAATTGTAACATTGAATTGAATTAGAATCAGAATTGAATAATAAACGCCAATACCGTTCGATCTTAACTTGACTCAGGTTGTCAAGTATGAGGGGCGATCTTTCCTTCGATCAAACTAAAATTTCATTCCTGAACAAGAAAAAAACAGTTAAGTCGCAGTGATGATACTAATAATAAAAAAATAGCTCTATGTTTATTGATTCTCGAACATAGAAGAAAAATAATAAAGGAAGGTTTGTCTCATTTCCTATCATTAATTTTTTGGTCGACGAAGGGCTGAATAATCAGCGAAAAACAATTTTTATGTGCT